TGAGTTTAACATGTTCCAGGCAGCTTAGGGAAAAAAAATAAAACTAATTTGACTGCAGCTAAAGGAAGACATTTGACATTTCCCAGAGTTACACAGAAAAGTTATATTTTATTATCTACAATTAAAAAAAAAATTAGCTTCAGAAGTAGCATATCAGAATACTTTGTAGAATAAACAGATAAAATTCAAATTTATTAGGACATGATATAAATGACCATAAGAACTTTTGATGTATGGTTTTAATCTCCTTTTTTTGCCTTAGGAAAATAATGGATAGGAAAAGTCATTGTTAGAAACTTTTCAAGGCAAGCAAAATAATTTCTTTACTACCTTATAACTATTTTCTAGAAAGAAATGTTTATCTTTCATGATCCTCAAATACATATAATCTGACCTTTGTAATTTTTTTGTTACTATTGTCAGATTGAAATATTGAAATTTTTCTCAGTATTTGAAAATAGAAATTGAATTGACATTATGTTCTAAAACCATATCTCAGGTTTTCCAAATATAAAACAAAGGTGAGAAGAAAGAAAAAAGTAAACTTTGTGCAAAGTTGATGGTTAAAGCCATATATAATTTTAAAAGAAACCTGTTGCTTTTTCTAGTATAGAGTACTTAATGCAAGTAACATTTCCTACTGAGTTGATGGTATTAGCCCAAATACTCTAATGTCTGTTTAATTTTGGGCAGCATCTGCCTTTCTTCAAACCATTCTTTCCAGTGCCTCTCTTTAAATCCTTATATAGCCTTTTGGATTTTGTTTGTTTCAGGACAAATGGGGACATAGAGTGTACTTGAATGAGCATTCATTCAGCAACCGAATTCCATTGGAAACCACTGCTTTTTTAATGCAAGTGTGTGTTTTATGCATATTCTTTGGCCATATGGTTAGAACTGATGTTTCTTGCAACTTCAGGCACTTGGGAAATTTTAAGCAGAGATGTGACACAAATGACACAGCTAGCCAATTATGTAACATGGTGAAAAATCCACCCAGAGATTGAATTTTAAAAACTTTGCTTTTTGTTTGTCACAGCTGTTTCTCTACTTAAGGAAAAGTCACATGCTGCAGAATTAGATCAGTGATGTTGTAAGTCTTCTGTAGCCAGCAGTTAGGCAGGAGGCAGGGTGGCAGAATGGTTCGGAGACTTCCTTTCCTCCTCTCTGGGCTGAGCACATCACCTGTCTTGAGGACCTTGCTTCCTTCTGAAACAGATTGCCAAGCCCCCTCCAAGTTCTTGGTCTTGGGCTGTCCAGGGGAGACTGCCTTTCTATTGTGCCTCCGTGGTTTAGAGAGAAGCACAGTGCTTTTCTGGAATCTTCTCACCCAGGCCTAGCCCCAGGACCACACTCACTCTTCCTGCAGCAGCCCCAGGAGCTCCCCAGTCACGCACAGTCTTTCTCCAGTGAAACCATTTCACCACCTGTGAAATGCAGAGGTGGTTTTACAAGACTATAATTCAGTTTTTTAGTACAATGGCTTTTTAAAGTAAGGTAAAGCTGTACTAAGTGAAGATCTGGGCACCTGTACCTCTCACCTGTGGAGCTCGTCCCTTTCTTTAATTAGCTCTATGGACTTTTGAAAGTGCCTCCAGTCTTGTTCCCACTTTAACAAGCTAGGTGGACCTTGTAATTACTCATCAGCTGTCAGTGGAGAAAGTGATTTTTCCTAGGAAGTCCTCTGACAGATGTGCGGGAGCTGGGCTTTGTGAAGGGAACCGTTCCCCGCAGGAATACTCCAGTGGGGTCAAGTCCCCAGGGAAAGCTCTCCAGCGCTGACACGTTACAAAAAATTAAATAAGCATTTTGTTTGAGCAACTATAAATATTGCTCACTTAAGAAAGCAAACAAGAAGTAAGAGAGGCATCTTTCCTAGGATTGTAGAAGAGTCTTGGTTGACATTTTGAACTTCTTTAGGGAAACTTCCGGTCACTTCACAGCCTTTTGAGAGACTTCGTAAGCGTTCTTCGGTGGGTGTTAAAACTCAAGTTGCTAGTTTCAGAGCAGTAAGAAGCAGCTGTACCTTGCAGAGGGCTGAGCCTCCGTGCGCTGTGAGAAGAGAGCTCCTTCCTCCATCCGAGTCCCTGAAACCTGGGGCCTGACAAGACTCCAGCCTGGGCAGTCCTTGTGTGGCCGTCTCCCTCCTCCTCAGCTTGTAGGTGAGGGAAGCGAAGGCCCACGCACAGGCAGACCCCTGGTCTCCCCCTCCCTCCCGTCCAGTCCAGACATGTGGCACTCGGTGCTTTTGAGGCCCTCTTCAGTGTCCTCTCCTAGGCTCTGCTAGAGCCACCGCTCCTGCTCCTGAGCGTGTGTCTTCCTGACCTGAACGCCACCTAAGCTGCCCTCTGGAGCATTCTGTGGCCCTGCAGTTCCAGTGCCAGCTCTGTCGTCCCTGCTGAACAGTCACATGGCGTTGCCAACCATGAATTTTATGAAAACCATGATTTTCAGCCTCTTGCGTATTTGCAGGATCTTGTTTGGCCATTTTCAAGGTGATGTACCCTTCATCCCTGTGGGTGGTTCTGCCTGGGCACCACAATGCCCCCGTGGTGGTGAGGTGGCCAGGGATGCTGCTCAGCAGATGTCACGTGAGTGCACATGTGGCACAATGCTGATGAGGCCCGTGTCCTCTCATCTTTCTCTATAAAAGGAGCTTTGCCCCTTCCAGGGATTATCCCTGTCATCAGCATAATAGGAGGCTGGGTGGTGAGGTCCTAGTGGCCTCTGGAGAGCTAGCTTGGCCATTGGCTCCAGATGCCCTGCTTTTTTTCTCTGGGGTTGGGGACTTCCTCATGGCAATAGAAGACTCCTAGGACACTGGCAAGTGGGGCTCATGTCGGTAATCTCGTTGTCTGAGGCTCTTGAACCACACTGTTATCCCGTGGGCCGGGGAGACAGCAGTTGGAAGTGCAGGGAAGTGCTTCATTTGGAAGAGGGATTGAGGCTTGTGCACGTTTGCCGTCCCATAGGCTCCTTCCCCATCACCAAGGCCAAGTTGCCTCTTCCAAGTTTTATCTGAACCACCCCCTTCGTAATTCTTGTTGCTCTTAAGATTTGTTGAAATACTTGATTGTCTTAAAGGTTGTGTTTGATATTCACTCCAACACAACTTCACTCATAAAAAAAATATGCAGGAGAGTTCTTTATTGTTTGGTTTTGTCTTTTAGTGTATTTTAGGGCAACCGGGATGGGTTGCAGGAGCTTTTGGTCAAAGCCCTAGCCTCCTTGCCCCTTGGGCTTTCTGCCCCAGCCCCCTCCTCCACACCCTGGGAAACTGGAAGGGTCTCAGCAGGGAGGCCAGGTCCCTGGCTGAGGGCAGTGGCTGGAAAAGAGTCCTCACTCACTATCAGTCACTGCACACAGGTCCCCGAGCCCTCTGGCAAACAGTATCAGATAGTCACCTACAAATAGTTCCCTGCCCGTGGAAAGCCCAGGCCTCTGTCTGTGTGTGTGCTCCTATCGTTCTTATCTCCAGATGAAATGGAACAGCCCAAAAATGTGGCCGCAGCTGTCCATATGCTCTCTAGCAAGAGCAGAGAAGCAGTGTGTGTGTTCAGGGCTCTCTATCCTCACATTGTTGTTAATTTCCTGAAAACTTCATGCTAGACGAGGCTTAATTGCACATTTCCTTAAGAATCATCAACAGACACTCATCCTGAGTCACAAGCAACTCACCCTGGGAAATGTGCAAACATCCCAGGTTTCCTTCTAGAAGAATAATACACTACAGCAAAACCCCATAGTCACCCGTCTTTTTTGACATGCAGAGCCATGAAAGCTCTGGAACTTTCTTCTTGGGCTACCTGGTTTTCTGAAGGAGATAAATGTTACAGTTTGGTTTAAAGTCTTGATAAGTATCCTCTCAGAAACAGTGTGGCCTTTGCTACAAGGTCTCCATTCTGAAGGGAGTGCAAGCTGGGAGGTGCTCTGTGGCATGTTGGGATACTGGCACTGTGCGGTGGCAAGGGGAGCTGGACTCTCTTCATTGTTCCTACGTAGTGCAGCTGTGTTTGTGTTTCCTAAATGATAACTGCCTGTGTGTGGTGACAAGTCCCTGCAGATGGGGGTACGAATTTCTCTTTAAAAACCATCTGACTGGTGTGTATCAGTTTGGGAGGGTCTGTTTATCAAGTAGCAACAGCAGAAATAAATCCAGGCACCATGGTTCAATACAGATGGTTTGCTAGAGCAGACATTTGACCACCTTGGGGTGGGGGGAAGCCATTGTCACTTTAAATGCTATGTCTCACAATGGAACACACTTGGGAATGGTAGACTTTTATTCTTTTTTCTTTTTCTTGGATAGTTACATTACCATTGTTTTGGCTGATTTGACTTCTTGGTTTATTAAAAATGTATGTTTAGGTTGTAAATGTAGTCCCATAAATTTGCTCTCTCTCAAAAACAAAAATAAACACAAGGTCTGGGCTGCAACAGAGACAGTTGCCTGTGGCAGAGAAAAATGTGTATAATAAGAAATACCTGGGCATCACGTGGGCCGTTGAGTTGGACACAAAGACCCGGAGACTAGTTTGGGAGGCACTTCCTTTAGTGTCCCGTCCCTTATAACTCAAATTAATGTTCATTACTGCCCTTTCCTATTGCCAAAATATTTTCATGACTTTGGATTAGAAGCAGCTTGTTCTGGCTTGTTTTGTGACTTTATTTCAAGGAGCAAAGTGATATTTACAAGACTTTGTGTGTCTTAGAAGCTTTAATTATCTTATGCCAAAGGAGGAAATACAATCAAGTTCTCTTTTGTAGCTATGTAAGAAAATAAGAGTTCATACTATGCTAATGTTAAATCACCACTCAGTGCATGTTTTTCAAGAAATTTGAGTCAGTGATGGGAACAGTGTGAGGCTGAATATCTGCCCGTCTGCTGTCTAATGCAGCTGGACATGACTGTGACCAGGACCACTTGGGCTGGATTTATTCTTGGATTTTCAAGTTTTTGTCTTCATCTTTCCATTTTTTCTCTCCCCTTCTTTCCACAGATTGGTGAACGACAGCAAGTGTTAGTAACAGAAGAATCTTTTGATTCCAAGTTCTATGTTGCACACAATCGCTTCTATGAGCAGGTAAGAGGCACTTCAGTAGATTCTTGAGTTTTCTGCAAAATCAGAAAGGGTTTTGGAAGTTTAAGTGAAGGGGATTCAGAAGGGGAAAGTGTCGAATCTTGCCACAGTGAGGCTGTTCTGCAGCATCAATCCAGCCAAGTTCCTGTGGGGTCTACCTTGGTGGCTTATTCTCCAGTACGATTGATACAAAGGAGTAAGTGTGCTGCAGTCCTCCTTAATCTTTGGCAGGACAGCCCTCGGCTTTGGGGAGTTTGGAACCAGGCGGTTAGCATTTTCCAAATCCCCACAGCCTGGCAAAGCTGGGGAGGAGAGACCTGCTCAGAGACAGGAAGGATGTCTGCGTGGGCGCCATCGGCGTGAAAGGGCAGGGCTTCCTCTCACTGTCAGTCATGGACAGTGTCTTTGTTTGGTCAGTGGGCTGGCTTGCAGTTTTGTTTAGTTCTAGCATTTGTTGTCTTAACTTCTGCCTTGATACAAATGCTGGGAGCAGAGGAGAAGGGCCCATTCCTGACTCAAGTTAGAACGACTCCGTGTGAACGACTGCGAAGACCCACGTGAGGATCCTCCAGCCTCCTTGCCCTGCCCACCCCACCAGGAGCCTGACTTCCATGTCAGCCCTCACGGGTCCACCTCCCCGGGTGGGAAAGCAATCCATAAGCACCTGAAGGAGACAGGCCTCCCTCAGGGCCCAACAGGCAGAGGCCATCAAGGAGGTGGGATGCCCCTCCCTGGCGGGGCGCCTCTTGTGGGGGTCAGGGACACTCATGGATCATTCTGGATCCTAGTTACTTTTCTCAGAGTCACAAGGGGTTTCCTGCTTTTTTGCTCTTCCTCGTCAGATGAGAAGTGTTTTCTCCCGTGGGTCCTGGCTGGAATTGGAGCCTGGAGGCTCTTGAGGTCAGCATGGGCAGTCAGATAAGGGCTGGGCAGGGGTGGCCATTGCCTGAGATAGCAGGCCGGACGCAGTAGCTGAGGGGGCCTCGGCTTGGTGTCTCACATGCGGTGATCTCAGACTGGCCGTGGGTCTGTGGTAACCCTGGGGACATCTTCCCCAAGGCCAGCCCCCAGTGGACAGCAGTGAGTCCACCTTGAGCCTCATTAGGAAATGTCTCCCAGAGAGCGCCTTCACGTTCGTGCCTGCCTTCTGCTCAGCTTGGGGAGGGACTTGGTTGTGTTGGGGCTGCTTCTCCACGTCCTTCCCTGCCATCTGGGTCTGTGCCTCAGCAGGGGACCCCCCTTCATCTTAAAGGCAGTGGCATGCCTCATTAGCCATCTCCTCCCATTTCAGGCAGTCGGGCTTTTTCCAATGATTAAAACCGGAGGAGAAAAAACCCTGAGCCCTTGGTTCAGATCAAGGCAGCAGATCAAGGGGACTTATTTTCCCCTGGAGTAGTACCAAATCTCGCAGGGACAGTTGGCTCTAGAGATTTTCTTATTTTATAAAAACTGATTTTAAAGGACTTTCACATCTTAAAACGGAAGTTCTTTCAGTTCGTTTGCTTGTCATAAGTAATTCACCACCCAGGTGACCTTTTTCGGAGTCTTTGATGAAGCATTATACTCAAGGGTTATGAAAACCAAACTCAGAAAGACAAGATCCAGTTTTGCTTCCCAGAGAAACTGGCCATGGAACTTCTGGCTCTGGTCTGATTTTTTTTTTTTTTCCTCTACAGCTAAGCCCGAAATGTCATAGAAATTATTTTTCTAAATAAGATGAGTTTCAGAGATGAAGACTGTATCTAAATATCAAAGTATTGCTGGATTACAATCGGCCTAGTTATTTTGGATACTAACTTGAAAAGACTGGCAGGTTGCTCCAGTACTAAAATAGAAGTGTGAGGCGACGTTATGCACACAAACTACCTCTTAGTCCCCAAGGAGGGGGAACGTTTGCTCGAGGTAAACAAGTACTTTTACCAGTAATCTCCTGTGGAAAGAGACCATCTGACAGTTTCCTACAAACGAGCCAAAGTTCCCTTCAGCACCGCGGCTCTACACGGAGCTCAGCTCCCAGGACTGTGTTTCCTCATAGAGCAAAAGAAGGCAGTGGCGGCCATTAGCAGGGACATCATTCAGCACTGAACAGCAGCCCGAGGTGTCACTGAGGAAGTTGCTGTTAACCAACCTTCCTCTCCTGGAACACACACACGTGTACACACACACACACACACACACACACAGCCTTCATTTGAAGTGTCAACTCCAACTGTTACTCTGACAGCTCATTTGGAAGGAACTGAAAGTAGAAGCTTTGACCATAATTATCTGTTTTCTTCATCACCTGGGACAGCAGAGCAGTGACTCAAAGGCCTGTCCAGGAGTGGCCGGCTGACTGCTGGGGGTGCCCTGGCCTGCCTGCCACACACACGCCTGAGGATGACAGGCTTCTGGCCTGGAGAGCACTGCCTGCTGCCCGGGGGCTCCTCCCAGAAAGGCCTCCCACCCTACAGAATCACATCCGGGGCATCTGCAAGTGAGGGCCCACCTTGGATGGGACCCCAGGGTAGAAGGAGGACATGAGGGGCCAACTAAAAAAAAAAAAAAAACCCGATCAATTAAGGTCTTTAGTTAGTAGTACTCTGTCAATTTTGATTCGTTCATTATGACAAATGTGCCATATTAATGTAAGAAATCAATAACAATATGGGAAACTAGGTGTGGGGCATACAGGAACTCTGTGCTCTTTCTATAGATCTAAAACTGTTCTAAAAGTTTATTTTAAAAATCAATCTTTCTTACAACTATTTTTTAAAGGTTTTAGTGCCAAAGAACCCTCCATTCCTGGGGAAGATGGTTGAAGTGGATATTCATGAGTCAGGAAAGCATTTTATGAAAGGACAGCCAGTATCGGATGCCAAGGTGTTCACGCCGTCCATCAGCAAACCGCTAGCAAAAGGAGAGGTCTCGGGCTTAGCACAGGTAAGTGAAGGTGCCTTCTTCCCCCTGGCAAGGGAACGGCGGCCTGTAGCATGGGACTCCAGACCAGGCTCCCGTTGTCATCATGGAGTCCCTTTTTATATAGCACCAGGCTTTGTCCCTTCAGACAGATTGGAACCTGCATTAGAAAGGGGTGTTTCTGCAGACGCCCGCGGCTTTGTTTCCCTGCCTGCAAAGGGAATGAACTGTCTCTGCTCCCACAAGCACAGGGTGACAGGCACCGTATCTGCAGGTAAAAGATGTGACCACCAGGGATGATCCGTTCCAATTGTTTCTATATCTGTAGATCCTGAGTTGAAGGGGATGAGGAAAAGAATGTTCTCCTGTCTCGGAGCCATTTATGGTGCAGCAGGAGCCTGCGCTAGCGCAGCCCTGACCAGGCTGAGCCACATGGTGCCTTTTGCTCGGGTGGAGCCAGGGAACCACTAACGTCCTGGAGAGTGAAACTCAACGTGTTCTTTTCTTTCTATGAAAAAGAAACCTGACCCTTATTTTATACCTTGGTAAATGTGGCTGTTTGCCAAGTCCTCTCTCACATCTCATTGAGCTGCAGTTGTAAAAGCTGATGGAGTGTGAAATGAAAATGTGTATCGCATTTCTAAGCATCATTTGATGTCCCTTCTCCAACACAATTGTTAAGTGCTCCAAAAAAAAAAGTCCAGAGCAATGCCTTAACACACAGAAAAACATTTACCTGGCCAGGTGATTCCAAAATTGCTTTAATCTCTGTAAAGCTTTCCCTTCAAATGAATTGAAAGAATATATTAATTAAAATGAAGAAAAAGTAGCTTTGCTTGGGCAATAGTGAGTGACACAGAGGGTAGGATCATCTGTGCTCTCGCTGATGTGCTGCAGAGGTCTCATGTCTAGCAGGAGTGGAGTTTGGGCATGACAGGTATAGGAGAAGGAACCGTATGCATGGCCCTGTGACCCCAGTGGAATAGCATGGACTATCTGTCATCAAGATCCTGACGGGTGTCATCCTGCAAAAACCTGATGAATATAACCTTTCACCTTGCTGTTGTTTCATTTAAAAAAAAAAAAAAATCTTATTTACAGGCTAGGATGGATGTCCTGCGAGGAACAGTAATCTAGCATTTAAATTGTATTGCTAGAAACTTGGCTTTTTGTATATTAGCCTATCCTTTTGAAATTTTTCAAGGAAGTGGGCTAGTTTTTTATTTCTCATTTTCCTACATAGAGCACTTTTCTAGGTTGATTTCAAGTTGTCTCCATGAGTAGGACTTCACAACAAATGGCAAATTATCATCTCAAAGACGTTGCCAGGTTTAATCCCTTCTATGTGCCTGTGGAAGGGTGGCATTCTAAAAGATTGTGGTGATCACAAACAGGGAAGACTAGCACCCTTCTCACCCCTCCCCAACTACAGCTAAGGCCGACCTCACTTATATTCTGGGGGCCAGACTTTTCCGCCCCACCCTACCACCAGCCTTTCTCAGCATATGGCCCCAGGGTCCTAGGTAATACGGGGAGGAAGGTCCGGTGGCTGATGTCCCACCTGGACCTCTAGAAATAGACTCTTATCTCTTGTATGGAGCCATAGAATCAGGAACATTGTGGGATGTGCATTCAGGGAAATGCCAGGCAAGTCTTTATCACCATGTGACTTCCTATAGATAAATGGACATTGTTCTCACTCTGCATTATTACTGTCAGTTTTTAAAGATATGCCAAACTTTCTGGATCAAAAGGGGCTCTTAGCGAATTGCTCCTAGTATTACATGTGTTTCTGCTGATAAGAGAACCAAAACAAATGAACGAGGAAGAGACAACCTTCTCTTTTCATAGGGTTTAACGGGGTTGATAGATGTCATAATCGTGTCTACGCATTTTGAGCTCTTTGACAGTGGGTAAAGGTGCAGGAACTCTTGAGCGGGGACATCAGCCTAACTCAGTGCAGATGCAATGTGGCCTTGGGGTCTAGAACCTCAGCTTGTACCTGGACTCGCCAATTTACCCCTGCCCAGAGCTCCTCAGGGCTTCCGTTTCTCCTGTTACATGGGAACAGTCGCGTCTGTCTTGGTGTTGATGTAAGAGTGTATGTTTAGCAGTGTGTGTGAGACACCCACTGCTGTCCCTGTACACAGCATGTAAAGGTCTCTCCCTTCTTTCCAGTCTATTGGTCCTTAAAAAATGAGCAGACTGAAGACTCCCTCAGTATTAGCATTTTCTATTTCTGTTAATTACTTGAGCCACGATCATGCAGTGCGAGCTGTCTTTGGCAGGAGTAGAGGTGTTTCTCTGTTAGGATGCTGTGCTCAGTGCCAGGGAACCAGTCCCAGCAGAATTTCTTCTGTGCCCTGCCACCGAGCTGCATCCCTGGCTGTGTTCATTTTATTTGGAGACAGGCTCTTGCTAAGTCGTGGGACTTGAACTTGCCATCCTCCTACCTCGGCCTTCCAAGTAACTGGGATTATGGGCTGTGCCACCACACCTGGCTCATAGGAGTTGTCATAGATTCTGCGGGACAGTAATTCTCCAAGTGTGTTCCCAGACTCACGCAGCAGCATTATCTAGGAACCTATGGAAACTCCAGATGCTCAGACCCAGCCTGGGCCTCCTGAGTCGGGAACTCTGGGGGCAGAGCTTGCTGATCTGCTTTTGAGCAAGCTCTCTGGTGACACTGTTACACACTTTTCTGGGAAATGAGTCTCACGTCAGCAGGAGGGCTCTGCACCCCCAGGAGCAGTGTTCGTGTCTGATGCTGACCTCCCGGCTTTCCCAGGCCACCTCAGACACCACAGCAGGACACGTCCTTGGAGGGAGATGTCCCCGCCTGTGTGTCAGTAGTTCCTCACAGGGTGACAAGATGATGTGGGGATGGCAGAAGGGCATGTGTGTTAAGTGATAGGGGCCTAGAGGGACAGGAAATGAGAGAAACACAGTGTGGGGATGTTGAGAGTAGTGCCTGATGGTTTTTCTGGGCACTGCTGCCACCTGATTATTGTGGTGATCCTTCTAGACGGTTGAGATTTCCATGGAAAATTACTGTGCTGTCAGTCCTTCCATCCGAGGAAAACTTGTGGGAGGCGATGTGGTGTCACCTCTGTCCAACCCCCCACCGCTCAGCAGTGCAGAAACTTCCCTGCATAGAGACCAGAAGAATGCAGTGGTGCCAACCACCCCTGTCACCTTTACCACCGTCACCTCAGCCAATCTAGTGTCATTGTATCCACATCTACCACTGCACTGCTACCCTGGTCTTCCCTAAGGAAATTCCATTTATCATTTTATTTTATCTGGACACATTTAGATAAATACCTCTAAAAAGATGAAGATTCCTTTTAAAAACATCCATGATCAGATCTCAGAATAATCATCCTTAGTTGTCGCTGGGGAAATGCTCCCTGCCTGCTGCTAGAACCCAAAGCCTAGGCCTCTGGGGTGTTTATTAGGGTCAGAAGGAACCTGAGCAATAATCGTCGCGGATAATGACTTAACCAGAATCACAAAATCAGAGAGTGGGAAGGGCGAGCGGGAGTCAGATCCAGGTCTCCCCAACGGTCAGGCCCACGGTCAGGCCCACGTTTCTGCCTGGGTCCCTTCACTGTGCCAAGTTGCCTTGCTGCAACCGTTTTGAAGCGCACGGTTCCGCAGCGTCGGTACTGGCACCTACGGTGCCCGCCACCCAGACCCGTGAGCAGCTTGCACACCTGAAGCTTTGTTGGGGTAACAAGCTCTGGCCCCCACCCACCTCCGCCCCGGGTGGTCTCCGGGTCTGCGTTAGTCCCTCCTGTACCTGGAATCGGACAGCGGCTCTGCTTCATTTTTGCCCCCGTCACTCAGCACGAGGCCCTGGCGCTGCGTCCATGCCCTGGCCTGTGGCGGACTGGCCCTTCTCGGGCTGAGCAGTGGTCCATGTGCACGCGGCGGTTCACTTTTCCGCTCACTTAGGAGACACCCGTCGCTTCCGCCTTTGGCTCTCGTGAAGATGCTGGCCGGACCCTGGGAGCGCCCGTCCCTCTGCAGTTCCTGCTCTCATCTCCAAAGCTGGGTTGCCGGGTCCTTCCTGACTCCCTGGGGATGGTGAGGAGCTGCCTCCTGCGCTCTCTGCTGTGAGGCGCACGGTGCGCAGGCTCCAGGCGCTCATCTTGGCCCTCCCTGGGTGCAGCCCACGCCTGCTCCTCTGCTTTTCCCGCCTCAGGGGTCTTCCTTGACCACTGCAGGAAGTAGTTCCTTTTGTACACCAAAGTGAGCCTGGACTGGATGTGCAGAGAGAGTGGTGAGGAAATCAGGACCAGTGGGTGATGGTGAGCACCTTCCCTGTGCGTCCTTAGCACGGCCTTGGAGAGGGTGCCTGCCCTAGAAGACACAGCCCGGGAGCATCTGCCTGCCTGTCCTGTTCAGAGCTAACTAGATGTGCTGCTACCTTTCTTTCTCCTTGTACCACCCACCTTACAGCAGATCGCTTGAATCTTGGCATTTCTCAAGTTAATACTTAAGAAGGGAGCTGTTTTGTGCCTGGTGAAATATTGGGAAAAAAATATTTTCTAATTTTAAATGTATAAATCGCTTTGTTGCAAAGGTTTTCTGTTCATTCCTTAGAGGTATCAAGTCACTTTTTGGGGCCGGGGTGGAACTGGGGCTTGAACTCAGGGGTGCTCAGCCAGTAAGCCACATCCCCAGCCCTATGTTTGTTGTTGTTGTTAAAGTTGTAGATGGATACAGTATCTTTATTTATTTTTATGTGGCGCTAAGGATTGAACCCAGTACCTCACACATGCGAGGCAAGTGCTCTACCACTGAGCTATAGCCCCAGCCCCCCAGCCCTATTTTGTATTTTATTTAGAGACAGAATTTGGCTGTGTTGCTCGCTATTGCTGAGGTTGGCTTTGAATTCGTCATTCTCCTGCCTCAGCCTCCTGAGCTGCTGGGATTACAGGCATGTGCCACTGTGCCCAGCTAATAAATCACTTTAAGGAAAGAGATGGGGTGGTTTTGTGAACAAGCTCAAGGATTTG